AAACATTTTTATTTTTTAAATAAGTAGTGTATCCCAACGGTTCAACAATCTAAAACTCTTTTAAGGATGTGGGATAGAAAGCTTTTCTTCCATCTTGTCTTCTTTATTATAAAGTACCTCTCTTTGTCTTGCTTAATGCTTTTTGTCTGTTTTGAATTTTATCTTGCCTGATAACAAAATCTTGTCCCATGCTTTCTTTTTATTTGCATTAGCCTAATTATCCATCTGGGCAGTGTTTTTCAGCCATCCTTTTATTTCTCATCTTTCTGAATTTTAAGTTTTGCTCATGCTTGTAGCATAGGTTTTTCTTCTTTGTAATACATTCTGAGGGTAATTTTCTTTAAATCGGTGAGTTTATCAGCCCATTTATATTTGTCAGTATGGCAGATATATTTGATTTTAGTTTGTCCACATTTTATTTTCTATCTTTCTGTCTTTTAAAGAATCTTTCACAATGTGGTCTGTTTTCCTTACTGTTCTTATGGAGTATTCTGATGTTTTTGTTCTAGTGATTATCTTTATAATTTGACACCATGCCTTTAGTCTTCTAAGAAGATAGTGATAGTTCCCTATCGTAAGCAGTGATAAAATTAATGAATTTCATACTAATTCTAATGTAGAGACATTGTAACTATGTTACATGGTCTGCCTTATTCAGTCTAGATCTCTGTTGCATTCTATCCTTAGAGAAGAGAATTAATCACTCAGCTAAGCTTGGAACTCAGTTAGCAGTGTTACTATCATCAGTAAGTACACTGTCAGAAGAGAACTTGAGTTTGATTTTCAGCCTTTAACAAGGCTCTTTTTATCTATAAAAAGTACAGCTTCTAAAGTCAGCATAGATCATAAAGTTGGTAAGCTGACATTGTTTGGTCACAATTGAACAGTAGTCCAAAATCTTCGTAGGTAGTTTGTTACTCACCACCAAAGAGTCACCGGTTTTATGTCCAAGTTGACATTAAAGGATACTGAGTGTAAAGTCCCCCTCTCCTTTTTTTTTAGTGTGGGCTTCACACTTGTTGAGAGTTTTACCACCTTTTAGTTTTTCAAAAACGATATATTTGACAACAGAGAGACATGTAATATATGAAAAGGACTTTTTAAAATTGGAAATCTTTAAACAGTGCAACTTGACACCCGCCATGTAATGACCGAGACTCACATCCTGACGTTAGTGCTCCATCCAGCACAGAAGGGTGGTTGCCACCCCAGGCACATGGAGGAGCATCGCCTCTGTTCAGCCTTCTTTCCATTCATAAGGCTTCAGCCCCTGATCGCATCCTCTATAGAGGGTGGGAAGGAGAGGGTGTTTTTTTTGTGTGGTTTTTTTTAATAATTTTTTAAGTCCTTGGTCAATTATATGACCATAGTTAATTTCCTTGATTTTTAAAAGTTAATCACACCAAAATCCTGTTGAAAATGAATGTGCCCCCGCTCCTCCAGATTCCTGCTGAATTCAGATTGAACACACTTGGGGTGTGGCCTCTGTGCGTTTAATATGTGTTGCAGGTGATTCTGATTTCACAGACTATAGTCTCAGGGAACCAAGATTGACAGTTCTCTGTTTAATCTGGAAATTTTACTAAAATCTAGTTTGGCAAAATTCTGGTTGGATATTACTCATTATGTATACAGTGTTTCAAGTAGACTTTTGTTTCAAAGATACAGTGATTTGATTTTACCATAACTTTATTCAATTAAGAAATCTAGGGAAACACAGGAGATTTTACATAAAGCTCCATTCCAGTTTGTGGGGAAAAAATGAGGATATTTAATATAGATTGTAGAACTTTGAATTTAACGCTCTTGTAATGCTTCCATGAAAGCCTCAAGGATAATTGACAAATCCATTTTTATCAAATTTAATGGGTTTCTAAATCCTTTTATGCTTCTCAAACAAAATGTTAATTAGAGCAGTAATTGAGTTACCAACTGCCTCCTGTGTTCACTCTAGGAAGTTGTACAAAAACAGTTTGGAACTCATGTAAGGTCATTCGTTGCTTTTTTGAGTTGCTAAGTAACTTTTCAGCAGGCTTCTAAAAATCCAAGTATTAAGGGAGTCTACAGGAAGATAAAAAACGCTATGAGATTTATAATAGTCTGGTACTCTCTCCACTGTATTAAGGTGGAAAAATCCTCTCCAGCATCACAGATGGGAGAAAATCCTCCCTCTTAGATTTCTTCCTGAATCAGCTTATGCCTGTCTAGTCTTGCAGTAGAACAGAAAGAGACTTTGGAACTAGGTATGCTGGCACAGATTTTCTGGGGGAAAAAAACACTAGGAAATCAAGTTGATAACTTTATTTAAGCAGCATAGAACATCATGACAAGTATGATATGTTCCAGGAGTGCAAGGATCAATCAGCATCAGAAAGTATGAATAATATTTTAGGAGATTAAGTGAGAGGAAACTGTATGATCATTTTAACACCTGTAGGAACAGCATTAGGTAAGAATCAACAATCCTTTTTGAGTTATTTTTTTTTTGTTTTTGCTAAAACTTGGAAACTTACCAAACTTTGGGCTAAAAAGTCATTCGTTCTAAAGCCCACAGCAAACATCATACTTCAGAGTTGAAACTTCAGAAGCATTCCTGTTAGTGTCAGTAAGAAAACAAAGGATACCTGTTAGCATTTTCTTTGTTTAGCACAAGGTCTTAGCCAGTAGTATAATGAGACAGGAAAAAGAAATGAAAAAGAGAAATTGTATGGGAGAGACCACACAATCTTTTTTCTTCTTGCAGATGATATTAATCCATACGTGGGCAATACAAGAAAAGCGTGTTCAGCACAGCTGCTACGTGTCAAAATTTAGGTTCATGTACCCCAGTGATAGCCTTTTAGTAAATGCAGTAGAAGAAAAGATTCACTTCACAATAGTATTAATGTATAACATATCTATGAGTGAGCACAACCAAAGATATATAAAGAAAATGACAGAACAGTGTTGTTAGGTATAAAAGACATGAATAAATAGAGAAATTATGCTTAACAATGGGGTATCTTGATTTTTTTAAGATACCATTTCTCTCTAAATTAATTCATTGCATATCAAAATCCCAATAAGGTTTTTTTGGAACTTGATAAAATGAACTTAAAATTTATAAAGAAAACCAAAAGCCAAGGAGTAGCCAAGACAATCTTGCAAAACAAAGTAGGGGACTTGCCACAGAGACTAAGCCATGGAAATTACAATACTGTGATCCTCATATAAGGACAGAGGAAAACAAAAAATCAATGGAACAAGGTAGAAGCCAGAAACAGGATCACACATATATAGAAATATGATGTGCATTGGAGGCAGCATTATAAATCAATAGGAAAAGATGGAATGGTCTATAAATGGTGCTTGATCATTAATTGATAATCATATGGAAAATAAAATTGTATTTCTAACTTCATACCATCCCCCCAGAATAGTTCAGGTGAATTAAATTTGAAAAGCAAATCCTAAAAATTTGCTCAAAAATATAAGCAGTTAAATTGGCAGCAGTTAAACATTTTGAAATCAGATCTTAGAAATATAATACTGAGTGCAAAAGCAAGTTGTAGAAGGACAGGTATAGTAAAGTGCCACTTACATAAAATTTAGGACATGAAATAATACAATGTATTGTGTAAAGATGCTAAAATACATTGTAAAGTATAAAGACATACATGGTGGTACTCTACACCAAATTAAAGGTACTGTTTACTTCTGAAGATGGTAGAGAGATGAATATGACTGAAGAGGGATGTGTGCAGTATACAATTGTATTTGTAATTTTTTTAGATAAAAATACTATGAAACAATATGTGGCAAAATGTTAACACCAAATGAATAACCAACAGTAAAAAAAATTGGTTGAATAAATTTTGGCTTTTACATACTATGAATATTTTTTCAGCCATTAAAAAGAATGAGTGGTAGCTAGGTAACTATATGGAGGATTTCTAAGAGTGATTACTTAGTGAAGAAAACAAGATGCGGGAAGGTTTGTCTAAAGTCACCCCATTTTTATAAAGCAATGCATGTGTGAGTGTGTGTGTATGACATAATTGTGTATGACCATATGAACATGAAAAAAATTAAAGATTCATTATAGGCTGTTAACATGGGCTGGGAGTGAGGTGATAAGGAAAGAGAAAAAAGGAGGAATGGGGAGTCAAGCAAAGAAAATGGGAAAGACAGAACACCACAAGTGTGGATGATGATTTGATGATTTTGTTTATGTACTTAATATAATCATAGATATACACACATGCACACATGCATATTTTAAAAAGACTGTAGAACCACTTAAATAAAGAATGAGAGTTGAC